ACGGTGGTGATCGGAGATGGACCAGAAGGAGATCGGAGTAATCGGATGGCAAAACAAGCAAGACGGAACAGAGCCTTGAGCAAAAGGAAACAGAGTGCTTGAGGAAGTTGCTCAAGCTGCGCGCATCTGTGAAGTCAAAGCAAAATGTTGACCAAGGATACACTTTTCCCTTCTCTATATAAACCTTTAAGACCTAATTTTTAGGCAATCTTTATCTTGTAACCAGTTTCTCTCCAAGAAAAACAGTTTGTTCTTGGAGATCTTTTGTAAGCTTTTACTTTGAATCTTTTAAGTTTAAGAAGTACTTAGTTTGCTAATCTTGTCTTAATGATGATTTCTAGCTTTCTTTACCTCTTTGCTTTCGGTTCGAGTATGAGTAGCGAGTAGTTCTTAGAGGTTTCGAGGGTGAGATTAGGAAAGGTCAGAGCTTTAGCTTCCTGTTAACCTCTTCCTTAATCTCCCTTGACCAGCTTTTCTTTAGCTAGAGCTTTATATCTCGGCTTCTTCTTGATCACTTGAAGTCGCGAATCTAGGCTAGTACACCTAGAAGGTGTTTGCGTTAATGCCTAAGAGAGCTAGCGATAGAGAGAAACATTCCCAACCTAAGAGATTGGTTGTTGGGATGTATCTTGTGCACTTTTAGACTAGATCTTGTGAAAGCTTGTAACTTTGAGTCCACTAGCGAGAGCTAGCTTTGGATTCTCAGCTTGCAAAGCGATCTGACCACAACAGTGGCAGATTTACCCAAAGTCTAAGCACAAAGCTTGAGTCTTGGTGTGTTGAGAAAGGATGGTTGAGCTCGTTTGATCCCAACTAAGTCTCACCCAAGACGCCTCCTTTATCTTTTATTGTCAAAGTTTAAATCTTTATTTCATCTTGTTAGCTTAAAGCATAGATCTGTACAAAACAAAACCCAATCTTTTATCGAAACTTGATTTTAGCCTTTTCTTTATTTCGACAAGTTTAAATCTCCACTTGGATTGACATCTCAAGTACTACGATGACATGAGTGGTATGGATTGAGAGTAGTTGATACAAAAATCCTACTTATCAGTCCTCTATTTATCCTCAATAGACGAACCGCCAAACCCTACAAGGTTTGTGTCTTGGTGATTACTCCAAATCTCCAAGGAATATTTCCTTTCCTTATTTTTCTCTAAGAATAGGAAATATTCCCTTTTGTCTTGATAATTCCAAATCTCCTCATCCAGCTCAGCTACCGCCTCTTCTGGATTCGTCCTTAACCGCTACAAGCTCGCATCCAGCTCAGCATCAATCCTTTAGCTCCGTTAAGCTCCGCTTAGCTCCGCTACATGTCCGTCCATACGTCCTGATGCACTTCCTGACTGATTCACGATCTGCGTCAAACCAGTTGCATCTTCAATCTCCCCCTTTTTAGCTTTGTGTCTTACAAGCACCTGTAAAACTCAAATCCACAATGCACATACCAGAGATAACCAGAAAACAGGGATGTTCTGAATACTTCATCATTAGACATTCAAAATATTCAAATCATTCAGAACATGAGAGTTATGAGTTTAAACATCCAAAAACAAAAGAGTTAGATCAAAGCAAAAACTCTCAACTCCCCCAGAATTCTAGAACCGAAAACTACTAAAACAGAGCAAAAACAAACAAAAGCTTTGCTCCCCCACAATTCTAGCATAAGTCCTAGTTTTCGTCCCCTGGTTCATCCTGTTCTCCCCCTGCTTGTGAGACCACACAAGTTAAAAACACAAGATGTAAATCATATGGAACAAGATTGTGCAGAGTTTCAACTTACCTTGGAGGTTGGCGAGAAGTCCCTGAACCGTCTCCGTGAAGGTCTGGAGAGTGTAGACGATGTCCGAGCCCTGAATCGCGCTGTGGTTGGCGGAGGAGTGGGAAGCGGACAGAGCCAAGATCCACAGTGAATGAAGCCTCTGATGTAGCTCTGTGAGCGCTGATGTAGATCGACCTGAGATGTAGAAGATTGTCTTGCTTCATCTTCTTCTTCTTCTCATCTTCTCTCTTTATGTACTCCTTCCCAGAGCGCTTGTCCTTTTGATAGTGAAGAGGACGAATGAGGACATCATCGTCAAGAAGAGAGAGCGCTTGCATCTGAATGATCCATAGATGATCTTGGAAAATCAACCAACGAGAGTCTTGTGTTGGAATTTGCTCATCCCCATCACTTGATCATACACCAACTGACCAAAATCAACTCGACTCCTGTGGATAGCTTGTAGATAAGCTTAGCTCGCGGCTCAGACACATGGTTGCTATGAGTTCGAAGGCATCCATTGTGTGACGCTAACAATGACCAAGGATGCATAACATGGAGTCATCCCAATCGAGTAGATCTCAGACCACTCTGCCTTCTCATTCGCAGTGAACAGCTGAGCCAATGTCTTCAGACTGACAGAGTCTGCATCTGCTTCAAGCTTTCTCTTCTTCACTCAGAGGCTGCAAGTTGAGAAACTCGTTGACAATCGGGGTGAGAACTCATACTCCTGTCCTCTAATCATCACCTAACACTATCATCTCCTGGTTGAGGCAATGCAGCATAGAACTCAACAATCTGCGACCTAACATAGCTTCCTAAACCCTCAACCGTAGACTAAACCCTCCTTTGATGATAATATCAGGATATCCCCACTTAGCTTCAGCTTAAGATCACAATTCGCTCATCAATGATTCCACGAGAGCTAAAGATCGCAAACCTGTCCAGAGATGAGGTTTCTTGGTTTGGAACCCTCGGTTTGCTTCCCTTGCCTTTAGCTCGTGAACTAGCTCGAGCCGGAGCTTTCTTCACCGGAGTAGATCGAGTTTTGAGCTTGGCTTTGGAGATGGAGCGATCGGGACTTCTCCTTCATCTTCTTCGACGGCGGAAGTCCGGTTGACGAATACTTTCGCTTTCCGAGTTATCAGCAAGCGTCTTCATCACTCTTTTCTTCATCGGAGAGGCATATCGAGTTTGATCGCCGGTGAGAAGGATCTTCGGCGTGTCTCAATTGGAGGACAGCGACTCTCCTTCTGCTCAGATCGAAAGGTTGCCCCGGGTTAAGTTCGTCGAGACCTCATCGTGAGGTTGAGAAGCGACCGGAGTTGGATCTCTCGGAGGAACCGAAGCGTCGGGCTCCGACTCTGTTGCGGCGGCGTTGAGCTCGTCTCGGACGGTCACCACCGGAGGTGTAGTGACCGCTGCTTCAGTCGCTCCGTCAGTTGGTGGTGGAGCTAGGGTTTCGGCGGAGTTTGGGATCGGCTCCGTCGTCTGTGCATCTCGAGGAATCTCCGGCTCCTCGGGTTTCTCCGCCGTGGCTTCTTCATCCGCCATCGGTTCATCTTCCGCCGTAGCGAAAGACTCGGCCTCGACTACTCCTTCAAAGAGAACCATCTCCATGGTCAACTCCTCCATCGGCGGCTTCGTCGATCATCGTGATATCGGCGGTGAGGTCTTGAATCGTCGGTTCGAGGCTGGTTCGTCGATTTGGACCGGCGTAGAGGCGGATCCGTCGATGTGTCTCGGATCGGTTTGACTTGGACGGATTATGCCTCGTCGAGTCGCGGTCACCATTGAATCAAGATTGACTCCTTCAATCGATTTGGGAAAAATCTAGGGTTTTCGAATGAAGACCTTTGACTTTCCTTTTTCGCTTCTTTTTCCCTTTTATACCTCACTGCATTGAGAAAACTTAAACCAAACCGGAATTAGGAATTAAAAACATAAATCAGCCGGATTAATTGGTTTAGAATCCAGAGCTCCTGCTTGACTTCCTGTAACATTCAGCACCAATATCAGCAGTACAACACTTAGGATAAAATTGTGACATCCACATAAAATTCGATTCAAATAGAATCCAAACAAGCAATACCATCCCATGTGTCACATCTTTTCAGCTTAAAAACATTTTTACTCAGTTTATCTCAAATTAAATACCTTTCATTTTAGTGAAGGAGACATTGACTGAGTCGGCACTTGCATCAGGATGTATTACAAATTCTCAACAGATTCATAGCGCTTGGCCATCCTGATTCCAACCTGCAGCTTTCACTTTGTCATACCCAGATCATATCACCACCTCTAATTCCAATGATGTGCAAAGTGAAACTCTTTATTTTGTTCAAGGCAGAACATGTGATCATTCTCTGTCGTTGGATGTTGTTCTTGTGAAACATTACCCTTCGAGAAAGCTCATGGACCAACTCAGCCTTGTGAGCTATTGTTGTCAGTCCATCCCCTTTCCAATTAAGCTCTTAGTTTCTATCGTCAGACTTTGTTCTTGTGAAACATTGTCTTTCGAGAAATCACATGAACCAACTTAGCCTTGTGAGCTATTGTTGTCAGTTCATCACATTTCCTGTTATGCTCATTGAATCACTTTTTGGTTCTTGAAGCAGCAAGCCATCTCCATCATATTGCATTCATTTGGAGTTGGCTCAGCTGCTTTTTGACCTTGAACATGCTTTTAGAATCACTTACTTTTCACTTTTCTTATGTTGAGGTGACATGACGGCATGACAAAGTAGCTGATCCTCATTGGCACCTTTGACTCCAAACAAAATCTGAACTTGTTATACACCCCGAGCCAGTGCCTGTATCAGCCCCTGCATCATTCAAAACCACTTGTGCAAATTCCAATGGAATTTCTTAAGGTGACAAAACGGTTAAAGTCCAATGGTTTTGTGAATAAATCAGCGAGCTGTAAATCTGTGACAACATGTTCAAGTACTACCTGTTTTTCTTCCACCAATTCACGAACAAAGTGGTGTCTTATGTCAATGTGCTTAGTCCTTGAGTGCTTGCACAGTAGACCAAGAAGGGTCCAGACTCCATCCCATAATCGGCTGACATCTGTCTCATCCATATAAGCTGTGTGCAGCAGCTTCCCAATGCAATGTACTCAGCCTCTGCAGTAGATAGTGACACAGAATTCTGCTTCTTGCTAAGCCAAGCAATAAGATTGTTCCCAAGGAAGAAACAACCTCCACTTGTGCTTTTCCGATCATCTGCGCATCCTGCCCAATCGGCGTCACAATATCCAGCAAGATTTCTGTTGGATCCTTTGGAGTAAAAGATCCCCAGATTGACAGTTCCCTTGACATACCTCAAGATCTTCTTCACCGCTTGAAGATGGGACTGTTTTGGTTTGGCCTGATAGCGAGCACACACACCAACGCTGAAGCTTAAGTCTGGTCGACTTGCTGTAAGATAAAGCAAGCTTCCAATCATTCCTCTGTAAGCTTCACATCAACGTCTTCTCCTTGTTCATCCTTTCCAATCTTTGTCGTGGTGCTCATTGGTGTTCTTGCCTCCTTGCATTTGTCAAGACCAAACTTCACCAGTAGATTCTTGGCATAGGTGCTTTGAGAAATAAAAATTCCTTTCTCAGTCTGATTCACTTGAAGTCCAAGAAAGTACTTCAACTCTCCCACCATGCTCATCTTGAACTCCTTAGTCATACTCTTCACAAAGTTTTCCACCAGCTTCTCTGAAGTTCCTCCAAAGATGATATCATCTACATAGATCTGCACCATCATCATCTCATTCTTCTTCTCAAGTGTGAACAAGTTTTGTCCACAGTTCCTCTGACGTAGCCTGTGTCAATCAGAAACTTCGTCAGATGCTCATACCAAGCTCTTGGAGCCTGTTTCAGTCCGTAGAGAGCTTTCTTGAGCTTATACACATACTCAGGATGTGTAGGATCTTCAAACCCTTCGGTTGGGCTACATATACTTCCTCTTGTAGAATGCCATTCAAGAAAGCACTCTTCACATCCATCTGATACACCTTGAAGTTCAATATGCATGCCATCCCTAGAAACAGTCTGATAGACTCAAGACGAGCTACAGGGGCAAAGGTTTCATCAAAGTCGACTCCTTCAACTTGTGAGTAACCTTGCGCAACAAGTCTTGACTTGTTTCGTACAATACTTCCAGCATCATCTGTCTTGTTCTTGAAGATCCACTTTGTACCAACCACGTTCACACCATCAGGTAGTGGCACTAACTCCCATACATCGTTTCTCACGAACTCCTCTAGTTCCTCTTCCATGGAGATGATCCAATCTGCATCTTCCAGTGCTTCACGATGATTTCGTGGTTCTATGGCAGAGACAAAGCATTCAAATTGGATAATTGCCATGCTGACCATCTGCTTATAGTTCATCTTGATTCCTCTCGTCCTTCGTGGCTCAGTGATGTCTCCAATCAAATCATTCGAGGAATGTGATGGCGGGTTTAGATTGCCTCAAATTTTCACAATTTATAAACCCAACTAATGAGCTGCAAGTGCACAGCCGTGTTGTAGTCGGGGTCGAACACGAGGAGGAAGTGTTCTCACTTAACACCTTGTGAGATTGGTTTGTAGCTAGCTCGCAATATGAGGTGGTTTTGGTACCTAGAATGAGAAAACAAAACAAAAGAAATGTGAATGAGTTTGTAAACAATTTAAAACAAGAGTTAGGCAAAGGACAATCATATGGAGCAATGATGAAAAGATAGTTGCATGGGATGTGTGTAGAGCCGTCTTGAACATGAATCACTAGTGTATGGTTTTCCACTGTCGTGGCTCCAACCACTATGTTTAAAACAACCTAATATACTCAGCTTTCGTTGGCTATTAGAATTGCAAACATGCATTACAAGGTTCAAGATTCAATTGTTCACAATAAACCATAACTCAGCTTTCGTTGGCTATGATCTATTGCTCACCAAATACTAGTTTTGAGATCTAGATTCAGCACTGTCGTGGTTCTATTTCTCTAAGATCAGATTACTAGATGTACGGTAGAGTAATCATGCATTAAGCTCAAGTAAAGGTGAAGATCCATAAGATAAATCCCAATAAGTTGCAACACAATCAAATCATCACGGCCACCATAGATCTCCTCGGCCTAACTAAGAGATCTACTCGGCCATGATGCAAACAAGCAAGCAAAGCATGATTGTAAACATTATGCAAGTATTAAAAGAGATAAAGGGATGAAGAAAGCTTCTCTATTGATGAACAAAGTCGGATTCTCCCTTGAAAACTCTTAAGATCAAGTTTATAGAAATGGAAACAATGAAAAAGAAAGAACAAGAGTTGAGCGGCGCCTCCTTCTTCTTGGACGATCTCCTAGGGCTTCTCTTCTCTTCTCTCTCTCTCACACGTAACTCTTTGATAATTTTGGACTGGACTCGATCTTCTCTTCTTCAGCGGCTAAAAACATGTATATATGGGCGAAGTCGCGTAGGGTTTTCTTCATGCCGGAAAAGGAAAGTTTCCATGCGCCGAGCCTTCTTCTCCACGTCGTGTATGGGCCGACATTGTACCAAGGAAAGCTCCAAACATTAGCCAGGCCTCTTCTCTATTCGATCAAGGCCTTTGGCGCTGCTGCTCGGGCCATTAGACACTCCAAATCCTCCATGGGCTTCGTTTACTCGCTTACCGGACATGTCTCGGTAGAAAATAAGTCTAGGCCTCATAGTTGATCCAAATGGCTTCATTCCACTTCGACGTGATGCATGACTCAAGTATCTATCTTTCCATATCAAGATCGTAACTTTTGGACGTCGGGAACTCCTCCGCGCGCGGCCAAACTTCCGAAGCTTCGTTCTGCGCGCAGCGAGAACTAACACTTGGAGATAAAATGATCTTCTTGACTTGGAAACTTGCATGGATCTTGATTTAGGGCTCTTTTACTCCTTTTTGCATCCTTTTTGATTATTTCACCTACAAAGACTTCAAATCCCACAAATACAAGAAAACTACCTCTAAAGGCAAAGAATCTTGCAAAAACCGTTTGAAAACATAGGTAAATATATAGTAAAATCATGTAAAATATGGTGATATCAGAATGATTTCTGTGAACTTGTGTCAGTGGGAGACCTACATCAGGAACTGTGTCAGAGACTTCCTCATGAACCTTTTCTTCTTCTTCACGAACCTCCTCTGCTTCTGTTTCTGCTTCGCTGACTTCTGGTTCATGAAACACTGGAGAGTCTCCCATAGCTGCAATTGATCGATCATCAAAAACAACATTGACTGACTCCATAATCATCTTGGATCGTAGATTGAAGACTCTGTAGGCTGAGCTATTGCCTGAATAACCCAGAAATATGCCTTCATCACTTCTTGAGTCGAACTTTCCAAGTTGATCCTTGTCATTCAGAATGAAGCACCTGCATCCAAAGACACGAAAATAACTTAAGTTAGGTGTCTTCCCTTTCCACAATTCATAAGGAGTTTTGAGTAAAGCCTTTCTCATGTAAACACGGTTGATGATGTAGCATGCGGTGTTGATTGCTTCAGCCCAAAACTTCACAGGGATGTTTCCTCCATGAATCATTGCTCGTGCCATTTGTTGAAGTGTTCTGTTCTTTCGCTCAACTACTCCATTCATCTGTAGTGTTCTTGGTGCCGAAAATTGGTGAGCTATGCCTTGTTCATTGCAGAACTTAGTCATGACCTCATTCTGAAATTCTTCCCCATGATCACTGCGTATGCGCTTGAGACTTCCTTTCTCTGTGATAACTTGAAGAGCCCAAATCTTGAAACTTGCCATGGTGTCAGATTTGTCACGAATGAAACGGACCCAAGTGTATCGCGAGTAATCATCCACTAGAACAAAGACATAGCGCTTGATGATAGGATTTTACGTGGATGTGATAAGATATGAGGTGGAATGCAAACAGGGGTGAATAAAGATGAAATGGTATGGTGCAATCACAATCAATCAATTCCTCTTAACCATCATAGTCATGTAGTATAAGAGGTTATCAATCCAAAATGGGAAACTTGTCACTCTATGAGAATATGAAACAACAAGAAAGTCAAGCAAGCAGTAATAGATTTGAGTAACACTAACAACCTAAATGAAAGAAATGAAATGCAGTAAAAGTAAATAAAGCAGTAGAGCAACAGCTCGACCAAGGACTCGAGTCGAGTGGAACAGAGTACCAGCTCGATCGAGTTTAGGGTCGAGTTGAAGAAAAAGCTAAAGGTGACGACTTTAACAAGCTAAAGAGAAATTAGGGTTCAAGACAGGGTTTTGCAATCAGAGGAATCTACACTTAATCAATCTTGCTCTTAAAACTCCTTGTATCAAGGCTTCTCTTGATATTGGGCTTCTCAATGCCTAGCCAACCCTTTCCCAAGGTGAAAGGCTATCAACCAAGGAATGATCTCAGAAACAGGGGGTTAGCCAGTGAGAATCAAACCTTGGAGGCCATAGGATCATTGCCCAAACTAATCCATCCAACCCCTTAGACCTCTATTTCTAGAGCAAGAGATATTGGAGCTCTTAGTGGATCTTTTCCAGCGATTTCCATCACTTCCATGTGGAGAATCGCCTAAGGACTTACAAGCCAGGGGTAGTGGTCATGTAGCCTTAAGATCTATCCAAAAGAGAGAGAATCTAGATTAAGACCATAAGCTAGAAGGATTAAGCATATGAAACCTCTAATCTATCCCATCTCAAACCCTAATGGGTAACTACTCACTACACATGAATGTAAACACAAGCAAATGCAATAAAAGAGACATCATAAGAAAGAGGAGATGAAATTAAACAACTTTTATTGAAATAAGCAAGTGCAAATACAAAGAGATTATCCAGGATCTAGGATTCAAGAAGCAAGAGCTTCAAGAACACAAAGATGGGATTAGAGCTCTAAAAAGTAAAAGACAATAAATTAAAAGAAACTAAAACAAAAGTAATCTAAAGCTTGGTGGTTTTTTCGTGGCTTAGCCTTTAAATACAAAGAGGATTAGGTTTAGGGTCAAAGGAAAGTCAAGGGGGAAGCAACATTTTTCGGGTTTGACTGTTGACTTCTCAGCTCGATCGAGTTGAAGCTTGGCCGGTCGAGTTGAGGAACTCGACCGGTTGGTCGAGTAGGGGTCGAGCTGGTCTTCAAGATGGCTTCTCCCTTCTTCCTTTGCGTATCCAGTTGAGCTGCGTCCATGTGCCAAGTCCCTCCATGCTCCTCGTCCCATATGCTCCAGAATGCTCCAAAAGACCTATTTCAAAGGACCAAACATGCATATGTATGCAAATGCAACCTAAAACTACATGAATGCATAAGAAGAGAAAAGGAACAAGATATGATGCTAATGGATGCTAAAACTATGCAAAAGATGCATAAAAGATGTGCTAAAACTATGTAAAATGCAAGTACATCAACACCCCCAAACTTGAACTTTGCTTGCCCTCAAGCAAACAAATAGAACAAGAAAGAGATGAGGTTTGAAAACAAGCTGATTCAACACTTAAAAACATGTCCTCAAAAGCGATTTGCTAAATGTCCAACTTAGAGATTCTAGAATGCAACAAGGTGAGAGATATTCATTAAGATTTAACCATGCTTATCAACATCAATCCCACTTCACAGTCACTCAAACAATGCATTCAAATCAGCAAATCCCTTTAACATTCATTAAGCAAAAACAGTGAACCAAAAACATGCAAGATCAATCAACTCATTTGGTTTCAAGGGTTTATGGGTTAAGAGACAAAGAGGGTCTCTTTTGTATGGTGGTTTAGTAACAGGGATCTCTCAAGAAAGTGGCTTTGCTTTGGCAGAAGGCTAAGTGTTAGAACCAAAGATGATGCAAGAACAGCAGCTCGAGCCGCCTAATCCTAACTCGATCGAGTTCAACACTTAGAGCTTTTTAGAACAAAATCCTAACTACCCTTTTTGGCATTTCGCCTTTGAAACTGAGGAGCTTTGCTCACTTTTCTTTTAAGAACTTCCTAGGGAGAGGCTTCTTGAGGTAACATCTAGCGGTTTGGGATTTTCTAAACACTTAGGGAACTTTTCTTTCTTTTTGACACTTGAGGCTTTGCCTTCTTTTCATTCTACTTAGAACCCTTTTTACTTCCTTTTTTAACTTCCCAAACCTTTACTAGACCCTTTTTAACACTGCCAACTCCCTGGACTTTTTTGGATTTTTTGAAAATTTTATGATTTTTTTGGTTTTTCTATGCAAAGATGAAAGAAAAACTAAGAACAAAGAAAACAAGGTTAAATCATCTCTTGAACCCTCCCCCAAACTTAAATCACACAGTCCCTTGTGTGAGAAAAATTTAGTGAAAGATTCAAGAGGGCAAAACCAAGAAAAACAAAACAAAGAAAAATGAAATGGTATATACAAGGGTTGGTGTTTGGATACCTCAGTGCCCCCCAAAGAACTGGGAGGCTAGGTCGTGGTCTGGAGATGGTAGACGGCCATCAGGGACTCCACTCGACTGGGTTCGCCTCACTCGATCGAGCTTGCGGCTCCTCTTCTTCCTCTTCTTCATCTTCGAAAGTGGGTGTGGCTTCCTTGGCCTTGGTGGAGCTGTGCTTGCTCGAAGCGGTTGTAGGGGGTCCAGTTGGTCTGGGAGAAGTCCTGGTAGGGCGTTGAATCGTACTCGAATCCAGGGTTCTCAAACAGGGGCTCCTCCAGGTCAACTCGACCCTCAGCTCGATCGAGTTGAGTTTCCTCTGTTTGGACTCGATCGAGTCCGGTGGTCGAGCTGGAGCGTCTGGCCTTAGAGCTCTTCCTCCTTCTCTGCGTGAGTTGTCTTCCCCTTCCCTTGGCTCGAAAGAAGAGGCTCTGTGAGGCTCTTGGGTAGAGCCTCCTTTGAGTGGTGAGGAGTGATCTACTCCTAGGGAATGTGGGGGCCATGGGTGCCTTCTTCTTCTTGCTTGAAGAACCAGAAACTTTCTTCTCCAAACTCTTGATCTTGCTCACCATCTTGTCCATGGACTTTTGCATCTTTCCATGGCTTTCCCTTGCCACTTGTTGAACTTTGGAGAAGTCCAATCCTCTTGTGGGCAGCCACAACAGAGGGGTTCATCCTTGGAGCCTCATACTCCTCAAAGTAATAGCACTCAGGCTCACCCAAATCCGCGCTCTCATGGACTTGACCTCAGCTCGATCCTCAGCTCGATCGAGCTCAGACTCCTCTTCTCGCAAATCTTCTCATGCCCAACTAATGTGTACACAGGGGGTCTGAAGTCAATGTTCTCACCCCTGACTAGTGGTGAGCTCTGGGTTGGGCAGGAGAAGCTTGGAGGTCCAGCCAATGGATGTGTGAACTTGAATTGGAACCTCCCATCCAACTCCTTGTGCTCAATGAGGAGGTTGGTCTTGCAAAACTTGATGTCCATCCAACCTGGAGTAGACCTTCTTGTCAGTTGGACTCCAGCTGCTGCACAAAGATTGGTGTGAGGCTGTGACCTTGTAGGTGAGAGCTGCTCAAGGAGGGCATGAGTTCCCTGCATGTGCCCTATCTCCTCTGATCTTCTTCCCATCCTTGTGCGTGAGATGATGGGCTTGATTCCCATGTCAAGGAGCTTCACTTCTCCCTCATTGATTGTCCAGTGGCTTTCCTTGCAAAGAAGGTGTTGGCAAGAGCCTTGTGGACATATCTCAAGCACTGGACTCCTGATCTGAGCAGCCTTGACCTTGAGGAAGAGTACCCCTCAGCGATTGTAGCCCAACTCTTTGGAGTTCATCTTCCTTGATGTTCCATTGGTTCCTTCTCCATAGTGAACCCAAACAGTATCTCAAGCTGCCTAAAGGTCACCATCTTCTTCTCTCCCTTGCCAAGAACGTGTATCCATCCCAGCCTTGGTCCAACTCAGCTCGATCGAGCTCATCAAATTGGTGACCTCATCGAGCCAAAAACTCACAAGTGAGCTCCTTGTAAGACTCCATGCGATGAGAGAAGAACTTGGCCAATTGCATGTTCTTGAGCACCAACTCCACATCCTCAAAGATCCAAGGTCCTCATGTGTCATCATGTGGGTACTTGGTCTCCACAAAGTCCATGGAGAAGAGAGCATTGTAGTGCTCTTGGTACATGGGGAGTTCTCTTCCTCCTCTTGTGGCTCAGCCTCCTCCATGGCTCATCTTGGTTACCCTCTTGCTCACTCTCATCAACCAATTGGTTCACCTCTTCTCCTTCCTCTTCACTCTCAGTCTCATCACTTCCTCTTGTTGGAGAGCCATTTCCCTCCTCTTGAACAAGGTTCACTCCAATCTCAAACTCCCCTTGCTCACTCTCACTACTATGGGTCATTCCTCTTCTTGGTTCTCCTTTCCTCCCTCAACCTCTCACTCTCAGACTGCTCTTCAGAGTAGACATATCCTCCTCTGATCAGATCTCTTCCATCTCTTTGATCTCACTCTCCAAATCCTTGCATCTTAATCCTTTCTCCATTCTCCTTGCTTCTCTGCCTTTCCTTTGAAGCTGCGACTTCCCTCACTCTCAACATCTTGAACTTGTTGCTTCACTAAAGTACCTGAAATGCATCAAAAACTCAAAGAATTAGAGTTGTAATGATCGGTTTGGTCAACTCGACACTCAGCTCGATCGAGTCAAAAAACTCGAGTGACAAACTCGATCGAGTAGGTGAAAACAGAGTATAACCGAACCTAATCAATAAGAGCTGGAAAGGATGCTAATCAATCAAATTGAACCAAGAACAACTAGTAAATGGAACAATGAGCAATTCTAGTGAAACTAAGCATCTTAACCAATACCAAACTCAAATTCAATCAAGCACATGCAACAAGTTCTAATGAAAACAGAGGTGAGGTGAGGCAAATTCACAAGATTATACAAATATGAGCATAAAGAAAGCAATTACTCAAGATAAGTCCACAAGGGACACATGCAATCAAAAATCAAAGAGAAACAAGCAATAGAGAAATCGAGATGGAGGAATCAAGGGTTTTAGGGTTCATACCTTGTTGAATGATGGAAGAAGAGCAGTAAACTAAACCCAAGCAAAACAAGATGAAGAACAAGAAAATCGCAAAAACTTAAGAGAGAAAGAGGAAATTCGATTTTTTGTGGTGAAGAGAGAGAGAGATGGTTTCAGAAATTTAGGTGTGGGAGAGAGTGGATTCGATCGAGTTATGGGGAAGAGGTTTGAGATGTGTGGTTGAGATTAAAAGATGAAATAAAGAGGGAACAAAAGCTAGGGTTTTTCTGATCAATTAGGGTAGTGGGGGACCAAAATCAGCTTGTGGGACCCACTCCCTTGACCAAGAAAACGGTTATGAATTTGAAATTCAAAAACTTACCTCGGTCGAGTTGAGGAACTCGATCGAGTTGCCCTGGTTTCTAGCTCGATCGAGCTGTCGGTCGAGCTGGCTCCTTTGACACCTAAACTTAACTTATTGAAAGGTTAAAACACAAAATAGATAGAAATTGCATAAATAGAATATGTACAAGGATAAACATGGGACTTCCTCCCAAGTGAGCTTGTTTAAGGTCCCATAGCTTGACCTTTACCTTCTTAGGCATTGGTTGAGCTAGTCCCACCATCAAGGGTGATAGTGAGGACTTGAGACAGAAGCTCCTTTAGCTTGGTTGGGTCCCTGGACTGTTCTGAAGTCACCAAGGCCTTGGCTCTAGAGAATGGCCTTGATCTCCCCTTGTACCTTATCTTGTACTCAATCTTCCCATTTTCAAACTTGGTGGGGAACAAAGTCATTGTGAGCTGAGATGGCTTGACTGAAGGGGCCTGAGCTGGTGGATCCTTTCTTTTATCCCTGGTCTTGCCTTAGAGGCTACATCCTCCCCTTCTTTTAGAGCCCTTCCTAGTGGCTCATCAAACAAAGCTTGAAGGCTTCTTCATCAAGCACACAAGGGGCTTGAACAAGTCTCAGCTCTTGGCCTATCAGAACGTGGTTTCTCAACTCTAGCCCTCTCAAGACGTGGCTTCTCAATCCTTGGTCCTCTCTCATCCTTATCCTTCCCAACTCTTGGTTCTTTGTCAACCCTTTCCTTCACAACCTTTGTAGCTCCATGACTCTTAGAACTGAGAGGTGTACTGTCAATTGTGGCACAAAAGTCTGAACCTCTAGGCTGCAAGCGATATGACACCAAACTATTCACCTTGTGAAGGATCACTTCTTGCTTGTGAAAGTCTATTGAAGCGCCAACTGTACTAAGGAAAGGGGTTCCCAATAACAGAGGTAATCCTTCTCTTCTTCCATTTCCATCACAGTGAGATCAGTTTGGATGATGCATTCTCCAATTTTCAAGTGATAGTTCTTGAACACTCCAAGAGGAGACTTAGAAGTTGCATCTCCAAACATGATTGAAGTAGTAGGGCGCTGCAAGGCTCCAGCAATGCCTAGCTTCTCTGCCATGGAGAGAGAGATCAGATTGATGCTTGCTCCAGAATCCACTAAGGCATTGTCAATCTCAAGATGCCCAAGTGTGCAAGGGAGAGTGAATTTCCCTTGATCCTTGACCTTTGGTAGGAAGGTGGGTGAAGTAAGCAGGTTGAACTGATGAGTAGACTCTTGTAGGACCTCTGAAACTTTATCACTGTTGGCTAGAACATCCTTGACCATTTGCATTTGATCAAATGCCTCACTCATGCTATCCATAGGAGGCAACTCAATTCCAATCCCACTGAGATCTCTTCTGAACTTGTGAATCACTTCCTTGTGACCTTGACTAAGTAGGCGAGACGAGGAAGCGGCAACCGGTTGGTAAGGATCAAGCAAAACAGGCTTCGGACAGAAGAGGTCGGACTCGATCGAGCTAGAGTTGGACTCGATCGAGCTGCCGATCGAGCTTGTCGTGCGAGCTCAACTGGTGAAGTGTGAATGGCCACAGTAGGTGCCTGCACTTCTGGTTGATCAATCTGGACTCCAGGAGCCTCAGCAGCAACAATCTCTTCATCATTCAGCAGTAAACAAAAATCTTCAATGACCCTTTCTTGATCCTCTTCTTCAACAAGTCCTTCTTGAGTGAAGATGACCTTGCACTGTTCCTTGGGGTTCTGAATAGCTTTACCAGGTAGTTGTCCTTGCTTTGTAGCAGCAGCAACAGAAGAAGCATGATTCTCCAGAGAGTAAACCCTTGTGTTGAGGTTCTCGATCTTAGAGTTTATTTCAGCTAGCTTCTTGCTTGTGTCCACTACCCCATCAGCTTGCCCTTGAAGTAGTTGCTTTAGCATTGCCTTGAGCTCATTCTCTTGTGAAGGTGCAGGCTGGGGCGGTTGGTGGGGGAAGCCTGGTGGGATATTCATTTGTTGTCCAGGGAAAGTGCCTTGTGGTCCTTGGTAATTGTTCTTTTGACCATACCCATGTTGTGGCACCTGACTCGATCGAGCTGCTTGTTGTTGAGGATATACTTGGTCCTGAGGGTTAGCAACATCAGTGTTGCGGTATGACATGGCAGGGTTGGACTTGTAATTATAGTATCCTTTGTTGTAACCTCCTTGCCCATTGCTCATGTAGCACACCTCAGCAAATTGTGTATCCTCCCCTTCTTGGACTGGTTCCATCTCCTCAGCAGACACAAAGTTGACTTTCTTCATTGTGGACTGAGCTAGGATCAGCTTGTAAGGTTGGTGGGGGAAGCCTGGTGGGATATTCATTTGTTGTCCAGGGAAAGTGCCTTGGGGTCTGATGCGCTGCATCTTTGGGATGAGTACAAGTAATAATTCCCTAAGACAACTAGTGTTGCAAGTGCACAACATATAATTGTAGTATTTAGGGGTCGAACCACAAGGGATTGGATTTCACACATTACATAATCATAGAGTTTAAATGACTAAGCTAAATCAAAAGATGCAAGGGTTTGTGTTTGTTTAGAACACGCAAAAGAAATAACAATGCAATTCTATACAAGCAACATTATTGAACTATTGAAAACTCTTTTGAAAACATGAGCCAAGTCGATTGAAAAGTTTGTTAAAATCCGATTCTTTTGAACTCAAAACACTAAGGAAGGATTATTCCACTTTCGTGGTTCCAATCCCCTATGTCTCTTAAACCAATGGGCTCAGCTTTCGTTGGTCATTGTAGAGTGAGACATGCATTACATCCAAGTAATGATTGTTCACAAAACTCTTTAGGTCTACTTTCGTAGCCTAAAACGATTTGCCCATCAAATATTGTGTCCGGAGATATAACAAGCTTTTGGAGAGTATATCAACCTAAAATCAAGTCACTAGTTAGCTACTCTAGCAACAAGCATTAAGCATAAATAAAGATGGAGAACCATAGGGTTTCCCCTTTTAACAATCGATTCAAGATGGCCATTATATCACGTCCTCATTGGAAGGATCCATAATTCAACAATGAGTCTTAGATAGTAGATGAAGTCTCATGAATCCTTAGAGAGAGAGGCGGCGGAATATAGACTAAACCACGCCTCACCCTTAGGGAGAAATCTCTACTTCTAGACTATATAAATTGAAACATGCAAGCTATATACAAATGCAAAAGAAGAAAAGAAAGAAGAAGGAGACCACCTAAGTGGCTCCGAACTTTATTGAATAAGTGTTTCTTGTTATGCGGCTGGTGATTCTTATTACAAGAGGCTAAAAGCAAGTATATATAGGTAGAGAGCGGGTCTAGGTCGGCAAAGTTGAGCGCGCGCAGAAGAGGAAAGTTTCCATTTCTCTTTAGCCGCTTGAGCTTGCTCTCCAAGTTCTTGAATGGGCCGCGTTCAGGCCAATGGAAGCTTCTGGATTGAGTTATGCTAGTGTCAAGATGAGCCAAGGCCTTGGGCGCGGTATCTCGGGCCTCTTGATCCATCAAAGTCTCCATGGGCTCTACTTAGGCGCTCGTCGGACATGTCTTGGTAGAAAATAAGTTCCGGTCCAACGAGTGATCCAAATGACCTCTTTCCACTTCGCCGCGGGTCATGACTCAAATATCTATCTTTCCATATAAGAATCATGACTTTTGGACGTCGGGAAGGCATGAATATGCGGTCGTACTTCGGATGCTCCGGTTTGGTCTTTAGCGAGAAATGTAGATTTGGTGCTCTAGACTTGGGAACTTGGTGATTTGACTCTTTTTGCTCCATTTTGGACTCTTCTTTGCTATTTTGACCTGAATGATGCTCAAAACCAGAATATACAAGAAAACTACCTCTTGGGCATAAAAACCACATTATTTGTATTAAAAACATAGTGAAAACCTTGATAAAAACATGAAAGATATGGGTATATCAACTCCCCCAGACTTAGCCTTTTGCTTGTCCCCAAGCAAACTAAGAGAGGAAGAGAGGTTTGAAAACGCAAGAACTCTCAAATCATTAGGAAATCCGGGTTGGCTTGGTTTTAGTAATCCACATGAAAGTAGTAAAGGCAAATATTTGAATTAAGAACAAGAGTACATACCATGAGTTTTGCGATTTTTCCAAGGCGGCCCACCTCTCTTTGGACAATCCAATTCACCCTCCTTGACTCCTTTCATTTCTAAAGGTGTGGTCTCAACTAGGGAGTATCGATCAGCCGGCTTTAGACTCTTACTCATCCCCTTGTTTTGGCACTTGTCTTTTTACTCCATGTTTCTCCTCTCTCTCTTCTCACTTCTTTGAGTTGACTCATCCCTTTTTTAGGGTAGCGAAGTATTTTTTTATTCAACTCCTTCTCTTTATTATAGAGGTTTTGCTTGGATCTTCCACAGACGCGAGTATTGATGGTGTTTGCCACCGAATCCCCGGTTGCTTGGATTCATAGGCCTTCCATAGACGCGAGTATTGATGGTGTTTGCCACCGAATCCCCGGTTACTTGGACCTTACGCTTTTTCTTTAAATTTGAAGGGGAGAGAGAGGGAAGCACGAACTCACTAAGACTTTTTCATTTGATGGAGAGGATGAGGAATCATGCCATTTGTATGCCAAGCCCCTAGCTGAGAAGATTAAGTTCATTAAGGGCGGAGTCAAGAGTGGATCCTTCTCAAGTCCTTGGAGGTGTGGGCGTTTTTGGTAGATCGATCAACTCATAGTGTCCCTGTGGTAAGATGTATTGCCAAGACTGCTTCAATGGTCACTTAAACGTTAGCACAACAATGGTTAGATCCAAGATAAGGTCATAATCCTTTGACAAAATTTTGACTCAATAAAACGACTCAATGAAATTCAAAAAGAACAAACTTGTTAGTAATCCCCCCAGACTTAACTTGCACCGTCTCGGTGTAAGAAAAATCCAATTAAGAGAGGTAATGATAAATAGAATGGAAAAGTTAGAGTTTGTAGAAAATTGTACCCAAATTTTGGCCTTTGATGTGAAGATCGGTTGTGCATTGAGGTTGCTTCCAGGAATGAACTGACTGGTGCAAACATCATAGCTGTTGGATTTGGTTGGATGAATGTGACAATTCTCCCTTGGTTTTCTGTTTTTCGCCTTTTTGGCCGAGACTGGTCCGTTTTGGTCGACCGGATGGTGATGGTATGGACTACAGCTCGAACCGTGAAGATTTCCTCGACCTATCTTGAAATTTCGTCGACCAATATTGTATAATATGGCGACTGGTGAAGTTTGGGGTCGTTTGAACGAGTGGTTTGAGATCTCCTTTGAAAAATTTTCAAATTGGCTCCGGGAACGTCTTCCGTCGGTCTTCTCCAATTCTGCTCGTTCCAATCTGGATTTTCTTCTTTAGATGCGATGTGGAGGCTTGATGGAGGTGATTTGAGCCGGTGGCCGCGGTAAATGCCGTGATTTGGATTGTCGGCCATTTTACTTGCTCGCGATCGGCCAAATTTCACTCCATCGGCCATCTCTTGAATTGTAAGGAATTCATTGTACTGAAATGAATTTCATCGACCAACCTTATGTTTTGTGGCTCCTTGTGAAGTTTGAGGCGATTTGAACGTGTGGATTCGGAGATCTTTCGTCGTGCGCGCCAATGGCTTCGGGATGTGATTCCTTTGGCCATCTCTTAATCTGTTCGATCGTCTCCTTCCTTTCTTCTTCCTTGGTGTTTTTTGGACTCCAGAGGATCAGTTTCCACCGGTGTTCGCGCCTTCTTGAGGTTTTGAGTTCGTCGGCCATTCTATGCATCGCCGTCGGCCGTATTGAGCTTCTTCGTCTATCTCACGTAGCAGGCACTTTTCTCGTCCTATCTTTTGGATTTGCCGACCAAAATGATGTTTTGAGGTCGCCTGTGAAGTTTGGTGGACTTCGGTCGTGCCGTTTGGGAGATGGTCGAGCATTGTCGCTTGGTTCGTCGATTCTGGCCGAGAGAGTGGTTGTGATGTTGATATCTCCTTATTTACTCGGGCCAATTGAGTTCTGCTTCGACCGAACTGTTTTTCTATCCCTCCTGGATTGAATTGTGGTTGGATTTCCCTCATCTCTCATGTTTGGCATGTAAATCCTCCTTTGGCCGGTTGTGGCTCCTTTGCGCGCCATGTTTGTATGATATTTTGAACCGGTTCTCCTGTCATATTTTATCTGAAAAACACTAGTAACTTTTGTTAAACTCTGTCAATGATTGAGTTGTTCAAAATAGTTTGAACTTCCCAATCAAAGACTTGATCGTGAAACCATATGTACTTGTGATCTTGATCAGAAATCCAAGTAGTGTAGTGGTTTAATTTGATAGAGATAGTGTTTAAAAGAAATGACAGTAAGAATGGAAGTGATACTTACCTTTGCCTTGTGCAATAGTGTTCCAATGGCCGGATTTTATTGTGCCGTGGCCCTTCTTGGACTTCTTTGCTTCTTGAAACATGGGTGGGACTTGGGTGGGACTCAAACTAGACTCAATGCTTCACTTAGACCAAAGATGGTTAATCTTTTGAGGTCAAGTCGTGGCTTTTCCAATGCATGTTTTGTAGACCTCCTTTTTGGTACTTTTTCCTAAAACAAGTATTATTATTTTATTTTTTTTTTTAAACTCTTCAAAAATTTAAGAGCAACAAATAGAACAAGTAAATAGTTTAAGATAAATTAAAATTAAAAAGAGGAAGGGATAAGAAAATGTGGGTTGCCTCCCACAAGCGCTTGTTTTAAGTCTTTGTAGCTCGACTCCTTTGTGTTCTTAGTTAGGTAGGATTGGTGGCTCCAAGAATTTCCTGTTGCCTGATGATTCCAAGTGCATCTTGTCCTGTAGAACTTCCTTGATCAAGTAGCCATGCGACTCTCCTCTTACTTGTGAGCACTCTCCTCCACTTGTGTAGCGAAATCGCTTGGATGAGAAACCGGGAGGTGCAGCATCGTAGAAGGTGTCCTTGTCAACATTGGCTAGAGAGATTCTTCTATTAGGCCAATCCATGATCGCTCCAGCTGTGGCTAGGAATGATCTTCCAAGCAAAAGCTTTAAGTCCTCCGGATCCTTCATGGTTACTACATAGAAGTTGGCTGGAACTATGCAGCCTCCAAAATCAAGCTGAATGTCTTTAACCTCTCCAAGTGGTTCGGTCAATGATGAATCAGCTAGCTTTAAATCCATTCGAGATTTCACAATTGAATTGATCAATCCCAACTTCTTGGCTATCTCGGCCGGCATAAGGTTCACACTAGAACCGGAATCGCAAAGAGCATCATCAAAGTAGCTTCCATTGATAGAGAAATGTATAAGGAAGTAACCTGGGTCATGAAGCTTGTGTAGAAACCTAGGTTTAGGCATCCCCTTTCTTGCTTCCTCGTACATCTTTTCCAATTCAGCTAGACTCCAATCTTGTGTCCAAGCTAGGTCTTGCATGAATGGACTCTTGTTGCAAGCATTATCAAACGGCACACCATAAGGGAATCTCCTCGCCATAAAGTTGAAATCATCTATGATCTCTTCAAGTGATGATCTTATCTTCCTCTTCTCCTTGGTGGGAGGCGGTTGTGAAGACCTTTGAGTAAGGGTTCTTCCTTTTGGTGCTATCTTCCTCTTGTTCCAGTGGTTAGCTTCGTGGCTCTTTCTTGATCAGCTCTACTTTCTTCTTCATCCCAAATCACTCTTGGGTCGGTCTCTCTTATAGTAAAGACGGGCGCGGCATGGTTGTGCTTAGGAACGGTCGTCTTTGTCGGTCAAGACCTTCTCTTCCAAGTTGGCTAAGCGAGTGGTTAAATCCTTGACTTCCTTGGAGACTCCATCTACTTTGTCTTCAAGCCCTCTAGCTCTTCTTTGAATATCTTGGCTCCTCTTGTCTAGAGAGATGTGTAAATCTCGGATTTGTGCCTTCACTTGTTTTTGCCCTTCCACCAATGTAAGCATCGTCGAGTAACATTGCCTCTCCTTTAGGGTCACTTCGGCTACCTCCCTCTTAGCTTGATGAGCTACTGCTGTTATTGAATTGAGACTCTTGGTGGTGCCATCGAGGTTGTTATCAAGACTTGAGATCTTCTCATCTAAGTGATTGTCCATCTCCTTGGTAGAAACTTTGGTAAAGTGTATCGCTCTCCTATTGTCTTCAATGGCCTCGCCTTGCTTCTTCAAATCTTCCTCCATGTCCAAGCATCTTGACTCTACTCTCTCTATTTGGGTAGAGAGTTCTCCAAGTCTTCCATCTAGTTCGTATCGCGTGAACTCTAGCTTTGTCTCAATGTCGCGGCTAGTTCTTCTTTGGCTCTCCATGAAACCCTCAAGCACGGCATCGAAATGGCTATCTCTCCGCCTATTGAGAACATGGTCGTGGTGTGAATGCAACACTGGTCTAGGTGGTTGATGATAAACCGGAGGTCGGTTTTGATGATGATGGTAATGATGCTCGTCTCGGCTAGGTCCTTCAAACGTCGGATGAGCGCGGTTGGGAGGGAACGGATGTGGCACGATGCTTACGGCTGGGTCTTGGTAACTCCGGCCGTGGAGATCGTGTGGGATCAGTGTCCGGTTCCCAAAGTGGATGTTGGTGTTGTGATTCATCTCCAAGTACCTATAAACACAAGATTTAAAAGAAAAAGTTAGTATTCGAAAATACCAAGATCTAGACTTAGTTTTAAACAAGACTATGCAAGTGTTTATGATGCAATCCCCGGCAACGGCGCCAAAAACTTGATGCGGCATCTATGGGATGAGTACAAGTAATAATTCCCTAAGACAACTAGTGTTGCAAGTGCACAACATATAATTGTAGTATTTAGGGGTCGAACCACAAGGGATTGGATTTCACACATTACATAATCATAGAGTTTAAATGACTAAGCTAAATCAAAAGATGCAAGGGTTTGTGTTTGTTTAGAACACGCAAAAGAAAAACAATGCAATTCTATACAAGCAACATTATTGAACTATTGAAAACTCTTTTGAAAACATGAGCCAAGTCGATTGAAAAGTTTGTTAAAATCCGATTCTTTTGAACTCAAAACACTAAGGAAGGATTATTCCACTTTCGTGGTTCCAATCCCCTATGTCTCTTAAACCAATGGGCTCAGCTTTCGTTGGTCATTGTAGAGTGAGACATGCATTACATCCAAGTAATGATTGTTCACAAAACTCTTTAGGTCTACTTTCGTAGCCTAAAACGATTTGCCCATCAAATACTTATGTCCGGAGATATAACAAGCTTTTGGAGAGTATATCAACCTAAAATCAAGTCACTAGTTAGCTACTCTAGCAACAGGCATTAAGCATAAATAAAGATGGAGAACCATAGGGTTTCCCCTTTTAACAATCGATTTTCGATGGCCATTATATCACGTCCTCATTGGAAGGATCCATAATTCAACAATGAGTCTTAGATAGTAGATGAAGTCTCATGAATCCTTAGAGAGAGAGGCGGCGGAATATAGACTAAACCACGCCTCACCCTTAGGGAGAAATCTCTACTTCTAGACTATATAAATTGAAACATGCAAGCTATATACAAATGCAAAAGAAGAAAAGAAAGAAGAAGGAGACCACCTAAGTGGCTCCGAACTTTATTGAATAAGTGTTTCTTGTTATGCGGCTGGTGATTCTTATTACAAGAGGCTAAAAGCAAGTATATATAGGTAGAGAGCGGGTCTAGGTCGGCAAAGTTGAGCGCGCGCAGAAGAGGAAAGTTTCCATTTCTCTTTAGCCGCTTGAGCTTGCTCTCCAAGTTCTTGAATGGGCCGCGTTCAGGCCAATGGAAGCTTCTGGATTGAGTTATGCTAGTGTCAAGATGAGCCAAGGCCTTGGGCGCGGTATCGCGGGCCTCTTGATCCATCAAAGTCTCCATGGGCTCTACTTAGGCGCTCGTCGGACATGTCTTGGTAGAAAATAAGTTCCGGTCCAACGAGTGATCCAAATGACCTCTTTCCACTTCGCCGCGGGTCACGACTCAAATATCTATCTTTCCATATAAGAATCATGACTTTTGGACGTCGGGAAGGCATGAACATGCGGTCGTACTTCGGATGCTCCGGTTTGGTCTTTAGCGAGAAATGTAGATTTTGGTGCTCTAGACTTGGGAACTTGGTGATTTGACTCTTTTTGCTCCATTTTGGACTCTTCTTTGCTATTTTGACCTGAATGATGCTCAAAACCAGAATATACAAGAAAACTACCTCTTGGGCATAAAAACCACATTATTTGTATTAAAAACATAGTGAAAACCTTGATAAAAACAT